TGTTCCAAAATGTGGCTGGGAAATCAGAGTAACAGCATAAAATCAACCAGATTTGATTTAGTAAAGTAAAAAGCAACAAAAATATGTCAATGCAAAGTGGCAAAACTCTGGTCAAGCAGGCGTTCAACAGAAAAAGAGCTGTGAGAGAGGCACTGGAGAGGACACAGCTGTTGCAAAACAAGGCAAATCTTATTCTAGGATGTATGAACAAGAGTGAAACATCAGAAGCAATGATTCCACTCTAACAAGGAAACACCAGGTGTGGGTTTGGATGCTGTGCTAGGAGAAGGTAGAAGAATATCATAGACAAATTGCACAGGGGCTGGAGGAAAGCAATGAGAATTATGAGTGGTTCAAAAAAATTGGAGGATCTTCTTTGCTTTTTCCAGAAGGGGAAAAACGTGTGAGAAGATGAAAACTGCCTTCTAAGGCAGCAGATACTTATAAAAAGGTTATTGACAATTGTTGTGGGTCCCACAGAAATAAATTGGTGAAGATTGTTGTTACTGGATATCAGGGAAAGAAGAAAACCCCATGAATTAAACCCAAAAGCTTTCAAATTCAGAGCAAATTGATAGGAATTAAAGTTTCTAAATCGGTTTGTAAGTATTCCTCTCTGGAAGTTGATTAGCTTCTCTCAGGGATGCTTGGATCCTGCTCAAGGCACTAAGGAGAATTCATGGACTTTCTCCATCTCCCCTGTTCCATGGCTGTCTCCTCAAGGCATAACAGGGCTTCCATCTTCCCCATGCCTGGCCAGAATGTGAAATATCGACACAAATCCTGTGTTTGCACTTTAGCAGAGCTTCAAACACTCTGTTGGTGTTAATTAATTATCCACCAACAGCAGGAAGCCAGTGATACCAAAGGCAGCACAGAGCTTCCCTGATCAATAACAAAAGCAATCCTTCCTCCTGTGCACTGCAGAGCTCCACCAATTCTCTTCCCTAATGCACCACAAGCAGAAAGAAGAGCCTCCTCTTCTGCAGACCTCCCACAGACAGCGTGTGGCTGCTGGGGATGGATGTGGTGCTGAGGTCCTCGCTCCCGAGGGCTCCAAAAATTCAGGAGTGAGCTGGAGGGCAAAGCAGCCCTGCAACAACACCCATTGCATGTCAGAGGAACAGTGTGTTCCTCATTTTCCCCTAAAATGAACATCTAATTTGTGAATAAAGGAATAATACGTGGATAAAGTTTGCCAGAAGTGTTGTTCAAGAGGAGCAGGTGGTGAGGAAAAAGGAGGAGGACGTTTGCAGGCTATATTCCTATCTGGAAGAAATATACTTTCTCTGAACTCTAAGAAGATTATGAAACAATCTGCTGGATGTCTCTGGGTAGTGATAAAGAAAAAGAGAAATCAAACAAAACCAGGAGCGGTCTCATGGTAGAGTCCATTGTACTTCAACTAATGAAAAAAAAAAGGAGATATAGGAGATAGGAGCAGGTTTTTTTAAAAAGAAAGCAATTATGTAATGAACAAGTGCTGGTGGACCTGAAGGAAAATGATACATCAAGAATATTGGGAATTTTAAAGTGAGAAAAAAGAGAGGAAAAAAAAGGAAAGGAGACTAAAAAGGCAAGAGGAGGAACTTTAGATTTTGACTGATGTGCAGCACAGTCCTCAGGATCTTTGGGAATTTTCCGGTACTCTGAACATGTTGCCTTCTTCCTTCTTAGACTAGCACCAAGTTCTGAATGATCACATGGCAGGGATGGGTTTCTGTGGGCACCTTTTTTCTTGCAAAGCACTCGGCTTCCTCCATAAAAAAGTAGCATGACTGAAGACTGAACTTCTCAGTGTAGATGTGCAGCATGAATTTGAGGAGGGAAAGACACCCATTGATATTTTTAGAGAGGGCAACTAGTCAGTTCAGCTGGTCAGGCAGCATGGACAGACCCTAGGGCCTATGAATTTGCTGCTCTATTTTACCTTGAATATTTAACAAAGCCACGGTACCAAAGGTTTTCAACTTAAATATCACTTTATGGATCTTGTATGATGCTCACAGCCACAACTGTATGCTGGATAATTCCTGTTTCCAGGAGGATGACCAAGAATTCAATAATGTATATTTGGCAAATTTGATGCTCCTTAAAGGTGGGACCCCTTTGTTCAGTGGGGAGATGAGGTGTGAAATCAGTGTTCTCTGTTCTCTGCACCTCTCTGCTGGGTCGCTGGGGTGGCTGCAGCTACTGCACTTCTCATGCTGCTGAGGAGGTGGATGAGGAAATGATCAGGGACGGTAGGATGTGGTTAAAGCCTCAGTTTGCTAACTGGGGCTAATGTGAGGGAAACACACTATATCTCACATCCATTAAGGCCTCCAGCAATCACCTCCCACGAAGGCAAAGGAGCAGTGGAGAAGGAATTGTGACTTCCTGAGTCCCAGCAGCTCCTAGAGCTGTTCCTGTTAATATTCAATTATGTGCTGCCCTGGACTTAGAGCAGCTTAGAGCTGAACTACGTCTCACTCCAGCCCTGAGGCTCAGCTGCAGCAAACACAGCTGCAGGAGGCTGAGCCACGGAGAGAAACAGCCCCAAAACAGGGTTATCACACCTCCAGCTGCCTGTGCGGAACCAGCGCGTAGGAGGAACTGCTCCGTCCACCCCTGCCCTCTCCAGCTCCCCTCTCCAGGCTGTGAGACTTTGGGGAGCTGGTTATTCTGTGAACTGTGGCCAGGGTCATCAAACTCTTCCCCCTGTTTTTTACCCTAGATGTGCCTATTGACCACAGAATGCTCTGCATGTGCTTCCTCTGCATCTCACACCACGCAGCTTCTGCTGTGGCTTTTCCTTCATCTCATTCCCACCCCCCCTGAAGTGTGTCCCATCCTCATTGACCCACCCACCCTCTGATAAGCCCCTTCCACTTCCAGATCATGGTATTAACTTGACATTTGCAAAAGGTCACCATGTTTGCTCTGCCTGAGTGTTATATTGCTCACTCTTTTGTTGTTCTGCTTTGTAAGCTCTTCAAGGCAGAGGTTATCTCCTTGAGTGTGACTACACAGTGGCCAGGAGAACGAGGCCCCTGGTGTCAGCTGGTGTCTAACAGCTAAACCAAAAATAATAACTTGGTCATCGATGCGGAGGCTGGCTCCAATTTTATAGATTATTCATCAGAGGATAATGAATCTTAATTTAAATGCAAAACCCTTCCTTCCAGAAGAGGTCCATAAGCAGGATGACAACTAATGTCTTAATTTCAAAGACTACCAGCGTCAGATCCCTGCTGCATTTCCAGGAGTCCATTCGGACCGCGTGGTATTGCTGAGCATATGCCATTTGCTGCAGGAACAAATGTGGGACATAAGGGAGGTGACACACAATACATACTTGGTGCATCCAGTTTATGCAGATGAAGTCCTGGCTTTTTTTAGCCTGGAGTTTGTCATGCTGGAGCTGTTTGTTGCATCAAACTAATTGCAATGGAGATGAGCGCGTGTGGTACGTACAGCGCCAGTGTCCCCCCTCCGGTGGCTGCTCCCAGTGAGATCAGCTGGTGGAGAAAGGACACATCAGTTAATCCTTTGCTCTCAGGTGGGAGTGGATCCGATCCTGGCTGCAGTCCTAACCTGACCAGCATTCCCTAAGGTGGAGATGCAGGGTTGGAGCGCTCCCATCTCCGTTAGGCAGCCGGGAGGGCTCCAGCCAAGGTAGAGACCCCGCGCCACCCATGAGGAGACACCCCAGGCTCGACTCTTCTCAAACACAAACCAATTCTGAACCTCAGCTGCAGCCAGGCTGTGCCAGAAAGGAAGATGGGAGAGTGGGGCTGTCAGATGCAGTAGCCTAAAGCCTGTGGTTGAGGCTGCTCTTCACCTGATGTTGGCATTGCTGAGGAAATGCATCCACGTCTGGAAGAGGTGCGCGTGGGGGATCTTGGCCTTTAGCTTAAGTGCCAAGAGCAACACGGCACCAGACTGACAGCTGTGCTGGCTCTAGGAACAGCCTGACCTGCTCCTCTGCCATGGTTTGTTTTGGGACTGACACAAAAGCTAAATCATTCCCACAAACAATACACAGCCAGCCATTCCCAGGTATTAACTTTTCCATTGCTTATAGTGATACTCCTTAAATTCCTCTATAATTTTGCCTTGAAAACAGCTCATTCCCTGAGTTAGCCAAGCTCTTCTGCTTCTCCCTGATATCCCTTGCCAGCCAGAGAAAACTGTACTGGGCAGGGGAGGGCAGTGCTGTGGCTCAGAGTCACTACACAGAGATTAATTGCCTGCCAGGGGTGGCTGCGTGGCTTGAAGGTGGATGCCAGCCTGGAGGCGTTAGGGCTGAGTTCTGCTTCAATTCCTGATCTGAGTCTCTCCCTCCTGCCCGCGTGCATCTCGCAGAAATATAACTGAGTTGGAAGTATCTGTTTCCTCCTAAATTCATCTGGAATTCATTAATGGGTTCAGAAGCTTTTGGGAGAGGGGGATGGACACGTACCTGCACAGAAAAGCAGCGCAGCAGAACCTTTATTTCCTTAGGGAGGCAGCCTAAAGAAATATTAGCATTTATTCTCATCTGTTGCTGAGCTTACGACCCACACAAATAACAGGGAATAGCGAGTGAGCAGCCGGCTGCAGAATGGGAACAGGGAAAATGACTCAGCAAGCTTGGCACCAATCTGGAGAAAATGCAGGTACATTATAACCTTGCTTGAGCATCAATCTCATCCGTGACATGACGTAGAAACAGCAGCCAGTGGAGATATTTGGATCTGATGGAAACATTCCTTCTGATAAATGATTTAGCTCTGCTCTTGCAAGTAGTTATATCCAGGAGCAGAGCAGGTGAGAAGCTGCCTTCATATATGTCAGCAAATGAGAGAAAAAGTTCAGTGAAAACCTCTCACTGCTTTATAAATATGCTTTTATTCTTCTGCTATCAGTTGACAAATAGCTGCTGAATTATAGTTTCATGCTTTGTTCATGTCATTCTCCCCAAGAACAGCATTTCCTGCTACATCACCTTAGAAACTCGATCAACAAACACTCTGCTCTACACGTAAACAAAGCTTTATTTTACCCCATTTTTGACAGCAGACAGCATTTTAGAAACCAGAAAATTTCGGGTTCTCTGGGCTATTTGCCTCAATTTCACAATCTGATTTTGGTTTTGAGGGCTTGTCAGCATTGTTTATTCCTATATCTGTTGGAGTAGTGATGTTTTTGTGTGAGTGGCAAGGAAAAATATATTGCTGCAAATTGCTCTCTGGAATCAGACTTTCTTCTCTCAAGAGTCTAAATGAAACTGCACTTTCTAACACGTGGGAACTAAAGAGTGAAATGAATAGGAAAGAGAAGTGAAACAAGAAAACTCAGTGTCAACACCAAAAATGAATAAAAACAAAGCAAAGACAACTCTGAGAATTAAGCAGGACGAGCTTCAAAACTCACACTCCAATAAAATTTAGAAATGTTATCTCCAACAGAGCGCCCGAAGAACTCTGCAGCCAACTTCAGCCATTTCCTTGTGTAATAACATCATGTCCTGACCTCATGACAAGGTCTTTCTTTTTAACTGTGGAAAAACAAGATCAGAGCCCTATAAAGTTTTCTTACTTGGTTTCACTAGATGAGCATTTCCCAGGTAGCTGCTGTGAGCAAACAAATTAATACAACAGCAAACAGGGGATTTTATCTGGCAGTTTTTTAAAACCTGCACAGGAGCCCCAGCTACTGAGCCTCCTGTGATCTGCCACCACAGAGAGTCCATCAGTTAGGGATTAATTTTAAGGCAGATATTAAAGCCTATCACATGATTAAGGATTTTCCTATATGTGGACTTCAATGGGATGCTTTAAATCCTGTGTGTGTGCATGGATATGCACGTGTATGTGCACGTCGGTGTTTATTCACGGAGAGATGCAGCCTCAGGCTTCTTCAGGCCTTTCCAAGGAACATAAATTTAGGAGAGGGGACAGAGAGAGAAAGAAGAGTCATCTTTAAACTTCACATTTTTGAAAGCAAGTTTTTGAAGGAGACAGGCTGAGGGGGAGAGAGCCAAGATTGTAAAGATTTTATAACTAACAACATTTTTTAAGAGGAGACAGAATCTGTGCTCTTTTTTCGTGCAAGATCTTGCAATAATTTAAAGCAAATTTGGGAAATAGCTCTCTTTTGACAGAAATGCTTCATTTTCTTTTTCTGCTGGGCTGTAACCTAAAGCGTCTTGGCTCGAGAAAATGAAATAAAGCTGAGCGATGATGCGCTGTCACTGCTGCCGCCGCCGCTCTGCCTCCTGCAAATCTCCCAAAATCGTGCACAGCTCTCCAGGTCAGAGCCCAGGAAGGCAGCAGTGCCTTCCCCTTCCAGTCTCAATCCTGCACCAGACAAACTTGCCCGGGGCTTTGTAAAACACGGCCAGGGTTTGCAGCGAGCGGCTCTGCCCGAGGTGCCGCTTCCAAGGGTTGGTGTGGAGAGGAAACTCTTCCCATGACACAGCAGAACAGCCACAGCAGCAGCAGCAGAGTAAAACAGATCAGTTCTGGCAGTACTCCTAAAGGACTACTTTAAATCCCAGCTCCAGCCTCTTCCTCCTTTAAGCATGATCGGAAGAAGGGAATGCAGAATAAAAAGAGGCTTAGTGAGGCAGGGAAATGAGGCCCGGAGATATGGGAAGCAAGGCAAATTGTAGCTAGGCTCCACAGCAGTGGGACAGCCTGGATAAATGGCAGAAAGGAGCCCAGAGAGGAAATTCCCCCAAAATTGGATGGGAAGGAGAGATAAACATAAAGAGTGTGGAGGGTGGACGAAGGGAAGACTCTGAGAAGAAGTAAGGAAAGGAGGATGAACTGCTCCTCACTTCGTTAACTCTTTTTAGCTAAAATCATTAGGAATTTTTACAAAACTCAAAAAAAATTAAAAAACCAAAAAGTAATACTAGAGATATCTGAAACATTGATCTGTTAGACATACAGCTCATTGCACGGGCACTGGAAATGAGTGGGGCAGAGAACAGGTATTCCAAGTCTGAAGCACAATTGGAAGAGCTGCCGGAGATGATCCACGGTCACTGCAGGACTGGGCCTGGGCCGGGTGGCTCCGGTCCCCTCCCGTGGCTGACAGCCATCAGCACCAACCCAGCAGTTAGAAAAAAGTCGTTTGTATGACTCCCTTCAAGAAAACGTGGTGGGACACTGAAGAAATTAAATCCCCAACTTAAAATTTACTGCATCTGTGGATCGGGTTTTTTTCATCTGCTGAGGGGCTGCTGGAAGATGCAAAGAAGGAGTGAATGCGGGATTGCTTTTCCTCCTTCAGTTTTTAACGACAAAACTATGTCTCCCTTCTCAATCTAGCCCCTAAAGCCTTGCACTTCATCACCAACACTGACATGATGCCGCCAATTTGGGAGCAGAATTTGGGGGCCTCCCACAGGAGCCTTCCAGAGGGAAAACCCCAAGAGCCCCCTGCGCGTTGTCAGCCCGGCGGTGGGACCGTGGAGCTGATGGGCTTCAGCTCCTGATCCCAGTTCCTGGGGGCTGGTGGAGAGCAGGGAATAAAACCCACTTCAGCACCGCAGGCGGAACAGCAGCCGGAGGAACGCGGCGCTGCCGCCGGCCGGCCCCGCACCCCCGGCGGCTGCGGCCGGGCAGCGGGATGCGCGGAGAACCGGGGGCTGCCCGAACCACGGGGAATTGTCGGCATCTTCCCTTTGCCTTTCCGCGAGGACTGGCTGCTTGCTGGTAGTGTTGCAGTGGCCAGCGCACATCCCTAGGAGCGGCTCCTTCCAGCAGCTCGGCACAGAGCCGGCTGTCGGGAGCCGGCGGCGCGACGGGTCGGGACGGTGAAATCGCTTCGCTACCGACTGGCGGAGTTAAACGCGGCGGTAGCGACCACCGCATCCACCCCGCACGGGCAGAACCGCTCCCATCTGCTCCTCCTCAGTCCGACACAAACAAGGGGTTTTCTTCGCCTTATTTTTAGTATTTTTATTTTTCTTTTGGTTGTTTTGGATTTTTTTGTTGCTGTTGTTTTTCTGCCTCTTCCAGCACCGGAGACCCGCCGCGGCCGCAGAAGAGCACCGGATCCCGCAGCCTCCAGGAGCGGGGTCCATCCTTCCGCACGGTGCCTGCCTGGCCGGTTATTCCCCGGTTATTCCTTTCTGCAAAAAGAGAAGGAGAAAAAGAAAAAAAAAAAAAAACAACCCAAATCCAAACATCAAATCAACCCGTAATAAATAATAATAGAAGAAGCAAGCGCAGCAACTTGCTTTAAGCAGAGGGCGGTAGGAGCAGGGAGCGCAGCCCCCCGGGGAGGGAAGGAAGGTAGCGAAGGGAGGGCAAGCGGGCACCGGCGGGGCTCGCAGCCCCCCGGGGGTACCGGCGGGTCCGGCGGCGGCGGACGTGAAAGTCCCCTTTAAGTTTCCATAGAGAGGCCTCCGGGTGTCACATGATGGACATGATATAACGAAACAACATCGTGGGGAGGGACGGAGGGAAGCAGTGGGGGAGCCCGGGGAGGCGTCGGGGAGGTGGCGGTGCCCCCCGACCCGCCCGCCGCGGCTGCACCTGTCTCGGCGCGCCGGGAGCGCGGTGTCCGCCCCGCTGATGGGGCTGCGGGCGGCACCTTCCCCCGGGGAGGAGGAGAAGGAGGAGGAGAAGGAGGCGAGCCGGTGGCGGAGGTAAGTTACCGGCGGGACCGGGGCGGGGGGCGCGGGGCGCGGGCGCGGTGTGTGCGCGGAGGGGTTGCGGGGTGTGAGTGCGCGGGGTGTCCGCGGTGTCCCCGCGGAGCGCCGGGCGTGTGCGCGCCCTCCCGCCCTCCATGTCCGCATTCCAGCTCATGTTGCGCAGATAAAATTCAAACTTGAGGTAAACACAAGCGGCGGGGGGGGGGCGGACGGGGAACTGGGGGGGAGGGAGGCTCGCTCCATCCCGGCTCCATCCCGGTTCCATCCCGGCTCCTGCCGCCCCCTCCCCGCCGCTCCCCCCGCTCCGCACCCGCGGAGCCCCCGCGCACCTGGGGGAGCGCCGGCATCGCGCTGCTTCCCCCAGGGAGGGAGAACCGAACGTCCCTTTCCCCGCACCCCCGGTAGGACACGGCGGGTCGGGGGCGGGGGGGGCCGCGGCGCGGCAGGTGCGCGGGGCGCTGTCGCGACATGGCGGGGGGGGGTGTGTGCGTCGCGACATGGGGGAAGCAGCCAAATGACAGCGCGGAGTGGTGTGGGGGGAGAAAGAACGGGGCTGCGCCGCGTTGTTTTCCTGTGTTGCGTGGGTATCCCGATTAGAGCGGGCATAACAGCGGTGCCCCCCCCCCCCCCCCCCCCGATCCCGCTTTTCTCCATACGCATTTCCAAGTGCGTATGGAGAAAACAAGATGCGGAGCGGGGCGGGCCGGGGGGGGGAGGCGGGGAGGGCCGCACTGGCGTTCGCAGCCCCGGTCCGTGACACAGGCGGTGTCGCCGCGGGGATATTTAAGCGCTTTAAGCGGGGCGATGATGGAGGCGGCCGAGGGCGCCCCACAGGTGGGTGCGTGCATGGAGAGGGGCCGAAGCGCTGGTCGTGTGGGGAACGCCGGAGCGGTCCCGCACTCCGCGGACTCGCGGCGGGCGGCGCTGCCGGGACTGAGAGTAAAGTGGGGTGCGGGGACAAGACCTGGCAGCCGCGGGTTGCTGAGTGGCGCAGCTCCGGGTGCCGCGAGCGGTGCGGGGGTGACGGCGGTGCCGCCATGGCGGGTGTGAGGGAGCGGCGCCCTCAGGGGGGTCCCGCGGCCCCGCCGAGGGCGGGAAAAGCGCGCGCGGCCCCCGCCTGGCGCCTCCTCAGCACTGCACCAAGGCGGCGGGGCGGGAGGGGGGGGCAGGGGGGGAGGTGGCGGCCACGCCCACCGCGCCCCCCCGCCGGCCAATCGCCGGGGCGGCGCGGCGGGGACACGCCCCCCCCGGCGCGCTCCGCGCCCTTCCGTCCAATCGCAGCGCAGCTCGCCCCCCCTCCATCGCCCTCTTTCGCCCACCCGCCTGTTTGTTACGGTCGGGGCCACGTGCCGGTGCCTCGGGCCGGTCACGTGGCCCCCGGGGCCGGGGGGTCTGAGGGGGACCGTGGGGTCTGGAGATCTCCTGTGTTTGGGGGTCTAATGGGACCACGGGGATCTGGAGCTCTTCTGGCCTTGGCGGTCTGACGGGACCGTGGGGTCTGGAGATCTCCTGTCCTTGGGGGTCTGACGGGACCGTGGGGTTTGAGGGGACCGTGGGATCTGGAGCATTCCTGTCCTTGGGGGTCTGACGGGACCGCCGTGGGGTGTGGAGCTGTCCTGTCCTTGGGGGTCTGATGGGGACCGTGGGGTCTGGAGATCTCCTGTGTTTGGGGGTCTAATGGGACCACGGGGGTCTGGAGCTTTCCTGTCCTTGGCGGTCTGACGGGACCGTGGGGTCTGGAGCTCTCCTGGCCTTGGGGGTCTGACGGGGACCATGGGGAGCAGGGGAGATCTGTCTTGGGAGGGGAGTATCTGATGGAGACCTGGAGACGTCCTGCTATGGGATCTGACAGGGTGATGCTGGGGGGCCTGTCCAGGGGGGAGTCTGAATGGGTGGTCTGCAGCTGTCCTGTCCATGGGGTCTGATGGGGAGCAGGGGGGTCTGCAGCTGTTCTGTCTATGGGGGAACAGGAGGGTCTGCAGCTGTGCTGTCTATGGGGTCTGATGTGGAACAAGAGGGTCTGCAGCTGTGCTGTCTGTGGGGTCTGATGTGGAACAAGAGGGTCTGCAGCTATGCTGTCTGTGGGGTCTGATGGAGAGTGGTACTGGCTGCCACCTTGGAAAGAGCGTGAAGCCCCCCAGCCCAGAGGAGTCTGACTGGGCCTGACTCTGGCTACCTGCCCATGGAGCCTGAATCCCCCCTGGCCAGGGAACATGGCCAGCAACCTCATGCCATTGCCCCCGGGCCCTTGCTCACCATGAGCGTCCATTCGGCCCTGGCCCCATTAAACCTTCTCTGAAGGGCCTGTCCCTGGCTGCTGTTCCTGTCATGGCCGAGCCGTGACAGCCTGTCCGTGGCTGGCTCTGGCCTCCGGAGAGGGAGGTGTTTCTCTCCCGAGGAGAGCTGTTTATGCCCAGTGATTTTTTTTTTCTTTTTTTTTTTTTTAATTTCTTTCCCCTCCCTCCGTGCTCTCCTGCGTAAGCCACAGCAGCAGCTCGGTGTCTGCCCAGCCCGGCAGTGTCACGGCACGGCTCTTATGTAGGTGAAGCCGGGGAACGCTGCAAGGATCATGTGGAGCTCTCAGTCTCCTGAGCCTGGAGCTTTGAGCCTATTTATAGGTGGGTTGGGCAGTGTTCTGTGTGAAGGACTTGCTCCGTGTCCGGATCTGTGGCAAAACGAGGCGTCCTTAAGCAGTGGTGTTTTGGTTTTGGGTGGTTGTTCCTGGGCATGGGGTTTTGTGAAAGGCTCTGGAGCACGGGTTGTTAGTCGGTTATGTGGAGGAAAGGCGAGTCAGTTTGGAGTTAAGGAACGTGATGCCATTTTAATGCAACTTCTCGGGTGGCAGAGCAAACAGTAAGGGGATACTCGGTTCTAGATCAGCAGCTTTCAGCTTTGCAGGCGGTGGACAACTCAGGGTCAGTGAGAAGCCACAGAGGAAAGGACGTTGTGTTTTCTGTAGGCTTACGCTCATTATACTGTTTTCTGCACTGGATTTTGTGGCTGACAAGCTGGGAAAAAAATATGGAAATCCACTATTCTAGATCCCTGAGATGTTTTGGTTTAGAATAAGTGGAGAAAAAAACCCTCAACTGTGTGTTTTGTTGTGTATGTTCCTATTGTACAGCTCAAAAATGTAAAAATTCAGTGTATTTTTAAGAGTTACATAACCTTTAGTAACGTAGTGAGTCTCAAGTAGCCTTCAAGAGTTAAATAACAGCAGATCAACGAGGCTGGGTTGAGAAGAGGAAGAGAGGGTTTTATAATGGTGAGGACTATACACAGATATTTAAAACTGCTTTGGTGTTGCACTAGAAACAAGTCTTTGCTTAGGAGGAGGAGGTTTTTAATAACCTATAAATACAGAACATGAGAGGGAGGATAGAAAGATGAGGTTTGCAGTTTTATGCTGCTCTAGTCCGGTAAAAGGATCAGGAATAGTTTATGATATTTCACATTCTTAAGCTTCCCTACCATCTTGACTTTTTCAGTACAAGTTTTTGCAATCTGAAATGATGAGAACTTCCAGATATTGACCACTGTGGGTGAAGAAGGAAATCTGGCCTGAAAATAACAAATTCCAGAAAGGAGTAGGGGCACTGTAGTGGTGAAAGAACTGGGGTGGTGACACATGTCCTGAGAGAGAGAGAGAGAGAGAGCTGGTGCTTTGTGTTGGTTACAGGAGTAATTCGACACGGTGTTACCTGCAGAAAGATGTTTATTCAGCCGGGGTGGTTCGTGCTGGCATATCCGTGTTATCTTTGTATTTTTGGGGGCAGGGAAAGAGCCCTGCCTTAAGAGAGAGGAAATTGCTGGGGAGCAGTGGATGTGCTGGAGATGTGAGGATACCTGGAGGTGCGCACGCCTCGGAATTTGGAGCGTACGTGGAAGTGCTGCAATGGAATTGATGCAGCAGGAAATTGCTTTCTCTGTTTCTGTTGGTGAGATGCAGTTAACGTAAAACGAGCCCTTTGGATCCCCTATCCCATTTCTCTTTAATATAACTAAGATCATTTATCTTGTCGGGTGGTGAGAAGGGGGGAAAAGAAAAATACTTTTGTTTTGTAATTTGGTTCACCTTCTCTTGATTTGCTGTCAGCTCATGACAAGGCACAATGTGTGCTGCACACTGTGTTCCACTGAGCTGTTTTGGTGACAAATACAATGTATACAAAAAAAAAGGGCTATGAAAAATAGGTATATTGTCAGTTTTTATAGAAACAATCCCCATTTTTCTCTAAGGTACACAAAAAGTGTCATATTAGGGTCTTATGCCTTGTCAGTTTCGGTGGCAAAAAGGTCGATGTTTTAGTCTTCGTAAGTATTCAAAATGCAACTGAAAAGGAAATATTTAAATGAGTGTTTGTATTGGTTTTGCAGTAGGAAGTAATAAAAGCTTTTGTCAGTTTTAATAAAAAGGGAAATGCTGAACTTACTTTAAAAATGCGATTGTTCATGCTTTATGAGTCTGTTATGTTGTTAAAATTAAGAGGATTTCTTTAATCCAAGTTAGATTTTAATTGCTGTAATCACGTGTTTACTATATTTCTTTTGTGTTTATAGATAAAAACACAGAATCATGTTTTTTTGACCTCGTGTATAGCATGACTGGCTGTAGTTCATGCCATATTTGCACGGTTTTTTTCCATAAACATCTTGCTCCTGGGACTATTAGTAGTACCAGAATAAGAGCTTGAAAATACTGTCACATAAAGGGTTAGAGCACTTGCAAACAGGAATGCTGAAATTCAAAGTTAAAAAAAAAAAAGCAGCCTCTCCCCAGCAGTTCTTTTTAAGTCAGTTTGATGATAATTTTTAGATCCCGACTCGTGGGTTTCTAAATGGCTGGAGATGGAATTAATGGGGTTGCAACTCTTTGTCATGAATTTCAGCATAAACAATATTTTTCTTTCGGCTTTGGATTTCATTTGAAATGCAGTGAAAAATCCCCTGTCCTTTTCCAGTCCCTCAGGATGCTGCACCTCAGCCAGCAGACGTAGTGTTGTTGTCTAACAGCGAGGCTGGAAATGGGAGTTGTTTGTGCTGAGTTTTACCCTTACCAAGGTCAGAGATTTCATCCTTCCTTAGATTCCTCATCTGGGAATTTAACACTTGCTCTGGGTCCTGATTTAGGAATTTTCATGAACTTCTTGGAGCTCTGGAAGGAATTTAAATGTCCCCATGTTGTTGTGCTTGTTCCCAAACGTAAGTTTGGAAATGCCTGAAATGGTGACGTCTGTGTGGCAGAAATATTCATGATGGTAATAAAGCAGTCAAGCTGAAAATCCAAGTTTCTTACATAAAACTGATTTAATTGGCAGGACAAACAAAGACGATAATTGGAATAATATTCCTGTTTTAAATAATTTTGGTCAATATGGGCATTGAAGTTTTCTTTTGACAGTGGTTTATGACTTGTGGGGAGTATTTTGGATGAAGAGAGGTGGTCCTACTCTGTCTCTCAGTGGTCTGAATTTCTATGCACTGTTACCTGAGAATTAGTTTTTCATCATTATGAAATATTAGTGAGCCCATGGTAAATGGGTTGTTTGGGGTTTTTTTTTCCCAATTCTTACTGTGATAGAAATTTCTTACTTAAATATAAGCAAAGGAAATGGAGAAACAAATGCTTGAGAGGGCATTTATAACACCACTTGTAAGCCCTGATTTTCCAAACACTCCTCCGAATGTGTCTTGTGTAAGGAGCAGGTCCTATTAGGGAACGTAATTTGTGCAATTGTGTAGAAAATCAGCAGAGTTGGTAAATTCTGAAGCAGTCATCCTGTTTTTTCTGTCCTATATTTCAAATCCTTGCTCTCTTGCAGCCAAGCCCGGTGTGTGCTTACATGTGCAGAGTGCTGAACAGTAGTCTCATCTAAACAAAAAACTTGTGAAGTCAGCCTGCCAGTAATAGTGATGTGATATTATTATTTTTTTATTTTATTTTTCATTTGTGCCATCTTGCCAATTACCAGAAGCAGCAATTAGTTGTCTGGGGGGGGGGGAAAGGTGAGGTGAACAAGGTGGGGGGCAGAGGGAAACCTTATAAACATAATTTTCTGGTGTTACAAAATTCAGTTATTTCTGCCCCAATTTACCTGTGAGCTACACCAAGATGTA